TGTGTGTTTTTATTTTTTTTTTTTTTTTTCTTTTTTTTGTTGTTTTAAAAAACAAACAAAATAAAAAGAAGAATAAAGTTCCCAAAAAAAAAAAAAAAAAAAAAAAAAAAAAAAAAAACACCAATAAGCACCATCTTCTTTTGAATTCTACAGGATATGCAATATTTGTATTGTTTCATGCAACAAGCAGCTGGGACCATGAGCCCACAAGTTTATTACTGAAAGTGATAATCACAAATTCTGCTGAAACTTTAGGAATGCAAAATTCATGGTAAAGATAATCAAAGTACAACATCCCAGGGTTGAAAAAAAATAACCTAAATACATTGGGTAACAGACACCTTAAAGAACCCATCAAGAGCAAACAGGGAGTGACTTCTACAGGTGACTGCCATCCTTCAGAAATCATGCACCACCTCAACCAGGAACAACACTAACTACAGGTAGTCTGGGTTAAAATCGGTCTCTTCAATCCACTGTCACAGTAAAGCTTGAAAAATGGCTGAGAATGACAAATCTCAGTTGCAACGATTCAGCACACTAACCTCAAATGACTCTAACTCAAGGTCAGAGCTCATTCCACAGACTTTTTAACCCCACATGAGAAGTCCCCCACACCATGTCTTGCTGTTTAAGGAACAACTGCACTGCGTACCACAGTGGTGAACAAGGCCAACCAGATTTCATTTGTGGTTTCTGCAACTTGTTTCAAATTTCCAAGTTCTGTGGGACAGGAACATCTGGGATACTGCAAATGATGCATGTCTGCACAGGTTTGTAGTTCTTGCTCCAGTGACCCCTGCTGACAAGTCATCAATTTTAAACATCTATTTGAAGATATTTCAGGATCATAGATTCATAGAGTTGTACAGCGTGGAAACAGACCTTTCACTCCAACTCATCCATGCCGACCAGATATCCTCAATTCAGTTTTATTGCCTTCCAACAAATTCACATACAACTATTAACATTCATGTGACTTACCTGTTAATTTTGTCACCAATTTTAGTGATGTGTTGTTGCATTTCTCATTGACAGAAGCACTGCCATTGTAAGCCATGTTACTGAATGGGTTCTAATAAATAGAATTCAAAGTGGAAACATTACATTTTTACATCTTTTTAACTAGCTGAGACTATCACAAACATTTATCAAAAATTTAGATAATTGCACTCCATTTAGTCAATAAAAATAAGGTCAAAAGCGTGAGCAGCAATGTTTAACTTCAAGAGAACAATGACAAAATGAACCACTCCAACACTGAATCAATTGAACTGCAGCAGACATGTGGCTAACAGATCAAATGTGAAACCAAGGCCTGTATATCTATTTCCAAGACAATATGTGAATATCTGAATCAAAGTGCAATACCTCATCTGAAAGCTTTCAACACAAAACAAGTTTCAAAAGACCTATTTCTAAAATTAAACCAAAACATGCGACCAATGTTTAAACATAAACATATTACAGTAAAATCATACTCTGTCAAGAAGTACATGATAGAGGTCGCGCAGACCAGTTTCATCCATCAAGTAACAATAAAGTACACAGTAATCTCCTGCAGCAATCAGTGCACAATCACTACCTACCAGCTTACTGCACATTTTCATTTGACTTTAAACAAAGAACTTCCTTCACAACACTCAACTTGTTTGGTGATTTTGTGCCCTTTTTTTAAATTGTATTTCTGATTAACTCTAAGTGCATTTTTTATTTACTAGACTGAATCTCACTGCCAACTGCTTGTTCCTTAACCTTTCACATTTATCAAGCCCTACTCTGAATTAACCTTCCTCCATAAAATTCCTCACCCAAGATCTGTTTTTCCCTTTGCTTTAGACATTTCACACACTTCTTGCAGCATGCGATATGATCAGTTTTTACTTCAGCATGTAAAGTGTGTATAATTACATGAACCCAATCTCAGCTAAAGGCAATATCAAAATGCGTACTCAATTGAAAAAAAAAGGTTTCACTTTTCCATTCTATGGTTGCACTGGAAAACTTCAAATTATACAAACAAATTCTCTGAATTTGAACAGGCCTTAGGCAACAATCAAATTTACCATTTCATCTCCCAAACTGATTTGGGCCACAGACATTTGCTTTATAGCAGATGGAGGACCTTCACTTAATAAGATGTTCCGACACACTGGCGTTTCTCCTTTACGCAAAGGAGTGTTAGATGGTAGCCTTTTATCAAACACTTCAGGACTCAGCTCTTCTCCGAAAGTCACCTTTTTCCCGAGTGGTGGTTTACTTCCACTCAAAGAGAGGATATCACGTTGTGCTGAAGAAGTTGTACCTGAAATAAAAAGACCATTTGAATTTTTTGTGGATTTACGCAAGCTGATTAACTGCTCAACCAGACAATATTAAAATTTCACTGGAAGCATACTCATGAATTTCTCACCAAAATAACGTTACACCGACTCAAGGTCGCCAACCTAAAAATTTCACTTGTCTCTCATGCTGCCTGCTGAGCATCACCACTGTTTTGATGTTTCTATTGCTAACTTTCTGTTTTTAGTACCCGATTACTTGGTCCTTTTCATGATTAAAAGTAATGTGTCTATCACACTGGGCACACCTTTAACCAATGTATCGTTGCTCTGTGAAACATACATGTGGATTGATGCAAATTTAACACAACCTCCATTGTAAAACATTGTGTGGGAGTGCAACGGGACATTTTGAAAGAGGGAACAAGATAAGAGAGTACTCAATGCAGGGCAAGTCACGAGGAACAAAGGGATCTTGGGAAGCTTGTCCACAAATCCCTCCAAGTGATAGGACAGGTCAATATAGTATTTAAGGCAGCATAAAGGCTTCATCAGTCATATCATAGATTGTAGCAGCATTGCAGGTCATGCTGGAGTTGTACATAACCGGGGTAGCACCGTAGCTCAGTGGTTAACACGGCTGCCTCACAGTGCCAGGGGCCCGGGTTCAATTCCACCCTCGGGCGACTGTCTGTGTGGAGTTTACATATTCTCCCCGTGTCTGCGTGGGTTTCCTCCAGGTGCTCTGGTTTCCTCCCACAATCCAAAGATGTGCAGGCTAGGTGGACTGGCCATGCTAAATTGCCCATAGTGTTCAGGGATGTGCAGATTAGGTGGGTTATAGGGGAATGGGTCTGGGTGGGATGCTGAGGGTCGCTGTGGACTTGTTGGGCCGAAGGACCTGTTGCCACATTGTAGGGACTCTATGGCTCTATGACTGATAACTCTGGTTAGACCACAGCTGGAGTACTGTATGCACTTTTGGTCACCATACAACTGGAGGGGGTGCAAAGGAAATGGAGCATTTCAGCTGTGACTGAAAAGGATTCGGCTGTTTCCCTTGGAGCAGATAAGGTTGAGGGGGACACTTCAAAAAAGGTGCATACAATTACTGAAGGTATGGACAGGATGAATAGAAAGCAGCTGCTTCCTCAATAACAGGGAGCATAACTTTCAAGTGAAAGGCAAGAGATTTGGAGACAACTTGAGGAAAACCTCTTTTACCCCAGAGGGTGGGAGGGGTCTGGAATGCACTGTCTGAGGGTAGTTGAGGCAGGAAACATCAACGTTTAGAAAAAATTCTTGCACGACCTCTTGAAGTGTCAAAACACGCACAGCTATGGGCCTAGTAGGTCATATGTTTTTTGGCAGTACCTGGTGGACCTCTTCCGTACTGTAGGATTCTGTGACAGTGCCAATTACTTTGTTTCATTGTGGGGTGGTTATACATCAATTCAAAATCAAGAACTAAGTACTGTGGTATACAGGTCAGAAACTGATCCATGCGAATAATGAAGAATAAGCAGACAATTAAGAAAACAAACATGAAAACCATATCCTGGAATAGTGAAGCTTGTAAGCGTCAAATGTGAAACCAATTTGCAAAAATGTTGTAATTTAACACCTTCAGTCCAGGTTAACAGCTCAGCCAAGAGCATGAATTGTGCTCTTAAAAAAATGAAATCCACATCATTTGCTGAAAAATTGAATCCATGAGATTCCACTTTCAAATAGATCAATTTTTATACACAAGAATCCACAAGATGCAAGGAATATCCAACCTATTATCTAACATACAGAATTAAGATGAATTAAACATGAATTAACAGGCCAATTGCAGACGAATACTGCAGCTTAAATTGCAGAAGCAAAGATAGGTCATATTTCAGGCCATCCAGTCACATTTTGGTGATCATACAGAGTCCAAGTTCTTCAAAATTTGATCTCCTGATAATTTCAGTAAATCAGAAAACAACCAATTTTGTGCCAAATTTCCACCAACCCACACATCCGTTCCATTGAAATTGGAGTGTAAACAGTGGTGGAAGGCACAGCGAGTACATTTGACAATCTACCTGTTCCTTTCTACAAATTAAAAACTGTCACTGAAATGATTGCTGATTACCAGTCAATGGAATGGCACAAAGCACAGCGTCAGAGGTGTATTCTAAACCACAAATGACCAATGACTGCAGAGCCTGCTCAACTCGGCATGAAGTATGGAGTTGGACTGGTTCTTCAGCTTCCTTCGACTGCATGTCTGCTGCCCATACCCAGCTTAGTCTGATCAACAGCCTTGTTACATTTTTCAAATGGAGCCAGTTTTTCGAGTTTTGGTTTACAAACCTCAGCTTCTTTCAAAGACCAGAGAGTCAGTTTCGTTCCTGTGTACATATTCTGGTTCCTTTTTCAGTTCAGCTTCTGTTTAAGCCTTGGATCTGCCTCAAAAACTAAGTTAAATTTGAAATCTCAAAATTTCCTCAGCAAGAGAAAGGTCGTGACATTTAGATGAATGATTGCTCAAGGCACGGTGGGAATTGTGAAGTTGGTTGCCAGGTTATTTGCTTTTCTGTTTACATGTGCACATACACTGCACAGAGAGGGTTTTCTTTCCTTTGCATACCAATGATGCTAAATATGCTCTAAATACAACAGCAAACAGCACAAACAAAACAATCCTTACTTGCTTTATCTTTATGCATCAGTGTCTCAGCCAACATCACTAACGGAGTGTTATTTCCATGTTATCCAGGCCTTGATTCAGACCTCCAGAACATCACTGCAAACTGTGCTTATGACATGGTAGGAATTCTACACCTACCATCTTGCTGTAGATCAGAGGGATGCAGGAGCTCTGGAGTGGACATGTTCCTCTCATCATGTTCTGAAACTTGAAGCACATCCATGAATCCAGTCATCTTGCTCTTCAGCAGAGCAATTTTCTGGGATCCCTATAAAGAATTCAGACATTCCATTATTTGTGGTGGTTTATAAGGTCAATGAAAATTTCCAAGTCATTACAGTTAGACAATGTGCATGTATTGGACAACCAAGTACCACAACAAGTTCTTGATTCTCTATTTACTGTTTGAATGTAATCTAGACCAGTCAGATTCACTTGTGCTGGGGAAGCTTCACAAAACATTTTTCGGGATCAAATTTAGAGTTGCACCAAAAAAAAAAAGGAGGGTTGATTCCGAAGAATCAACAAATAAATTTTCCCTTTAGAAATTCAGTTTTAACTGACTTGCTGGAGATTTTAGAGGAGGTAACAGAAAAGCTTGACGAGGGGACCATTTATCTTGAGTACATGGACTTTCAGAAGGCGTTTTGCACAACATTGAGGAGAAACTCTTTCAATTCCACAACATGGAAAAACCACTCCTCAATGAACACAAGAACAATAATTTCACTCCTTGCTTAACTGCATGTTTCTGTTTGAACCATTAACAATGAGCAAAGCAACACATTTTCGGCAATCAACCCCTGTTGCAGCAAAGTTATCAGGAGTGAGAACCATAAACTGAGATGCTCACCTGGTCCACATCAGCCCAGAGATCAATTGCAACACCAAACATAAATTTAGCACCCAAATTCTGTTCTAGCTCAAATCAGTTCAACATGTAGAGGCCACTGTTTAAAGAGCAATGTCCCATAGGACATTTTTCTGACAAACATTCAGGACAAACATATGGTGTCAATTCAGCAGTGCCAGTTATACCTGTGACTGCATTCTCCGTTTGGCTATGTAGCAGATAAGGCTATTGGTCTCTGGAGATCCTCTGGCTCCAACAGAAGACGTGCGCCGAGAAAACCGCTTTCTCGCTGCTGAAGGCTTATCTGGAATACAAATTTAAGGAAATTTTAACATTCACCACACACCTCAGGCAGTTAAATGCAAAAGCACCAACATCATTGGTGAAGTGAAGGATTGCCACAGCTCAGTTATTTGAATCGGCATTTTTAGTGACGACCTTACTTTGGTCCAGCAACTGACGGGCATTGTCACAAGGGAAAAGATAAATATCAGCCTTTCGCCTCAGAGATGCTCTACTTTTATACTGTCATTACATCAAGACCATTTTTGTATTATCACTGTGTTGGAAAAAGTACTGACTACTTGTACTCCCTTCCCTTTCATCTGTAAAAGCCATGATCTGACAAAGTAATATGCAAACATAACATAGATTAAAGAAAGTAACTAAATCATTGACTTGCCCTTCCTCAGTCTTCCAAATCTCTTATCTTTAGATTATTGTACAATTCTCTTCTGGAAGAGAGAATTCCAGGTACTGGCACTGGTTGTGGTTAAAAAAAAAAAAACTGCTTTTCATCAAGTTGATTCGGATAATTTGCGAATTATTTCAAGTTTGGTCTCCTTGTTCTCCATTCCCTGGAGGAGAACCATTTTGCACTATCCACTCTGTCCACACCCCTCCAAATTTTGAACACAGCTCATTGGGAATAGTTCAACGCCGCTCATAGAGGCCAGGTGTAGATGGCATGATTTGAGTAAACACCTTCTGTGTTGTAGCCATGATGATAGGACAGCAAATCAGATATTACTTCCCAGTGGACAATCCTTATATTGCTAAGCTCCATTATTTTGTTAGTGTGTTATTTTATATTGTGTATTTTGCAAACTACGCTGTCAGATCACGTTTCCTCTTAATTTCAAGAAGAGGCCGACAACTAAGCGAGAATAGAGTTGGCTAAAGTAAATTAGGCAGATAGAGGAGCAGAAATAAGCAGTAAGCAAGCAGTGGCAGACATTTAAAGAGGTAATTCATGACTTGCAACAAAATTATATCCCATTGTGGAGATAAGGCTATATGAGAGGGATAACCTAACCGTGGCTAACTAAAGTAGTTGAAGAGAGTATTAAGTTTAAAGAAAAGTCATGTAAGGGAGGCACAAGTCAGCAATAGTCCTGAAGACTAAGATAAACTTTTCCTTGCCAGACTAAGATAAACTCAAAAACCAGCAATGGAGGAGAAATTAAAAGAAACTACGGGAACAAACAATGAAGGAACATTAGAAGTGACAAGAAGAGCTTCATTCGAGATACAAAAAGGAAAAGAATTGACAAAATGAACACAGGGCCCTTAGAAAATCAATCTGTGGAGACAATTTTATGGAACAATGAAATGGGAGGGGAGTTAACCCGATATTTGCACTCAAAGATACATCAAATATCCCATTAATACTGAAGAATACAGGGTAGGGATTAAATTCTAACATCAGCACAACAGATGTAGTATTAGCGAAACTAATGGGGCTAAAGACACTTAAGTCGTCTGGTCATGATGCTTCGCATCCTACAAGCTGCAGCAGAGACAGTGGACACATTGGTTCTGAACAAGTACTGGAGTATTATTCAAAAAGGGAGGCAAAACGTGGGAACTTTAGACCGATTAGCCAAACAAGTCTTGTTCAAAAAGTGTTGGAATCAATTATTAAAGAACTATTATCAGCACTTCCACAAAAATATTAATCTTAAGGACAGTAAGCATGTCTAAATAATTTATTGGAATTTCTCAAGGAAGTGACAACCAGTGTGGATAAAGGGATCCAGTAGATGCACTGTGTTTGGTCTTCCTGAAGGTGTTCAGCAGCATATCGACAGATAATGAGCAGGAAACAGCGACTGTTATGGGGATCTTGTTCAAGGTGGTGGGGTTCCACAGGGATCGGTGGTGAGATTGTAACGGTTCTCCAGACTAAGAGGGAGGAATCGAATGTATTGCGGTCAGATTTGCAGTGTACCTGAAAGCAGGTGGAAAGGCAAGCAGCAAGGTGAGAGACAAACAATGTACTGAGAGGTAGCGACAGGTTAAGTAAGTGGGCAAAAGGTAGCCAAATGGAGTATAACATAACATGAGTGCAATAACTAGCAAACCCGACTGGAAACAAACATCTCTTGCTGAACACTAGAATAAGATCCACTAGTTGTGGCGTAAGCAGGCTAGTCCCAGCCTGGGACAGAGTTCTGCACACGAATCTCTGGTTCGGCTTTATTTTTCTTATGTCCAGAAGTGCTCTTAGACACAACTGAATGGCTTTCGCCACTATCAAATTACTGAGACTTCTTTAAATCTTACCTCCTACTGAGGGGAACACATCTGGTCCAGGACAGATGTGGATTTGAACTGGGATGCTGACATGCCAGAACACAATTCCTGCAGAAATCATTGGATTTTTCCAACTATCCCACCTCTTATTCCAGTTCTGGAACATCTTTACTTTTCTTCAACTGGAGTATCACAAATGGGCCAAAAGGCCCTGTGCTGTATGGCTCTATGCTGACCTCTGACACACAACAGCCAAACAATAAGAATTTAAGATATTTACCTAGCTAACCTGTTCGAGCTTGATATTACATACTGTGATGATACTATGGCTGTAAGAGCTGTATTCTATCCTAGTTTTCTGTCTGAGTTTTCTTGTCGCTAGAGGTCAAGACAGAGCTGAGAGCAATCTGCTCCAAGCCAATAAAATTAACAGCTTGTCCTGACTTGGGTTTCTTTTTCCAAAGCGGCAACAACAGAACCAACCTGAATGGGTGGAGTGAGGCATCCAGAGCTTGGATTTTAGTTTACTTTCAATGGCTGCGGGGGTTTTTGAAGCTGGTCATTTAGCTGCTACATCTGTGTCTTGGTTACAAGCCAGAAGATTGGATTCTCTTCCTGTTGCCAGAATCACACGTGAGACAATCTATTTTACTGCATTTGCCTTTGCCAAGATTGTGTTTACGTGATGCTACTATATTGGAACAGTGCTGTTTACTCATGAGATAATCTGTTATTGTGTTAAATTTTCCAATGCAGTTTAGGTTTGACTAATTCCTCTTTCATTTTTATTTAACTGTAGACCAAGAATACAGTGGTTTTGCGTAAAGGCAAGTAGTGCAACCAACTGAATTACATCTGGAAGACAGCACATTACACTTGTCTTTAAGAAAGAAAAGTTAGGATCTTTGCTATTTCCTTGATATATTTGAAGGGAGTTTGGTTTGGTCCATAACAATACCTCTGGAACACATGGAACTCAAACACGGCCTCAACAGCCCAGGAGGTAAAAACACTAACACTGCATCAGAACAGCTCTTCCCAAGTCTGCTTGATGATCTTTTGAAGTAACTGCTTATTCATCTTCCAATAGCTATGCAGATATTTTTAATCAGCTTGCTCAAATGTATTACCATGTATCTCACAGACATGTAACTACACACTTCTGAAGCAGGTGGGACTTGAACCCAGGCCTTCTGATCTAGGGGTATGGACATGACCACTGTGCCACAAGAGAATCTCTACAAGCTGGGTAGATAAGTAGGCCCCATGGGCGTTACAGGGGTTATAACATCAGGAAAACGTGAAGTTGTAAACAAAAGAACAGAATATTATTTACAATCGAAAAAAAACTGCAGACAACTCCAACACCAGGGACTTGGGAGTACATGTGCACCAAACATCGAAAGCTAACACACAGATACAGCAGGCATGTGAATGGAATTCTGGTGCTTACTTCAAGGGACAAAAAAAAAAACAAACAGAAGTTGCTGGAAAAGCTCATCAGGACTGGGAGCATCTGTGAAAAAAAGATCCGAGTTAACATCTTGGGTCTGGTGATCCTTCCTCAGAACTGATGGTAGCTGGGTTAACGTCAGGTTATATGCAGAAAATAGGGAGGGGGATGGGGTAGGGAGTAAATGATAGGATAGAGCCTAAAGAGAGGAAAGAAGAGTTGGTTCCCCCTCCCTATTTTCTGCATATAAACTGTCGTTTTCCCAGTTACCATTCTTTCTGAGGAACTGAAGCATTAACTTTGATTTTTTTTCTTCACAGAAGCGGCCAGTCCTGCTGAGCTTTTCCAGCAACTTCTGTTTTAGCTCCTGATTTACAGCATCTGCAGTTCTTTCGGTTCTTATTTCAAGGGGGTTTAACTTATCAGTGGAATAGTCTTACTGCAACTGTAAAAGGTGCAGATATCCAGAGGTTGTCACTATCAAATCAAAAAGAGCAAGTACCCAAGTTAATTTTCTTGCTCTCGAGATCAGGGGAAGCAAAGCCAAGTGTGGCAATTCGCAGAACACTGTTAACAGCCAGACATATGACATTTCACCACTTAGCTCAGTTCCATTACCTGCTGACTTTAGGTTCAATATGTCTGCTGTGACTTGCAGTTGATTTTCAGTGGCCACTGAAGAACACATTAGAGTGGAGGATGTTTCTGTAGAAATTGAGAACTCAGCAGGGGATTGTTCCTTGTCCTCTGTTATCAGGCCATCTATTTGTTTATTTGCACTATTTTCTCCAACTTGCACTATGCTGTGCAGAAGGTAATCACTCTGTGTTACTTGAAAAGAATTCTCCTTGTCACCTCTCTCCAATGTTTGAACTGTTGGTCCTACAAGAATAAATAAGAAATACAATCAATTTTGAAGTAGCAATGCAAACTTCAACAACAAGTATGTTTGAATGCTTAGGCTCCGTCACAGGTTTGAACCAGGTGCAAGTTTCAACTGCTCTCAGTGCAACTGGGTTTGGGATGGTCACTGTTCCTGCTACTAAACGTTCTTGCCACTCCAACTGTTAAGTGTCGCAGTTTCAGTAAGGACACATTTATATTCAACTGTGACTCTGTTCATTATAATGTGATGTTAATTTACAGTATCATTGGTAAATTAGCTAATATAGTGGAGGACTGATGAAGGACATGAAGCTGCAAGCCACAAAACAACCAAGGTTAGCAAATTACTTTTTGAAAAAGAAAATGGTGAATTTTCCAATCAATCACTCTGTTTCAATTCATTCTCGCAGTTTGCGCTGAAGGTTGCTTGCACCTGTACATGACGGCACTTTATTTTAAGGAAGTGTTCGAATCCACAACGTCCTCACTTAAATATGGGGTTGTATTCCTGAAGAACAAGTTTGAGTGAAAGAAACTTCAAGTCAAACACAATTTCCACAGGAATCCACATTAAACCCAGAACTAGGCTCCTGCAGACATTTGACCGTGGGAATAACCAATGTACAAACTGATTGAAGTACTGTATCTTTTATCAGTACTCCTGCCCAAAATTGCTTGAAAAATAAAATGTATCAAATTAAAATGAATACAGTGCCTCAAGGTAATCCTTGACATTTGTCAACTTTCAACAAAAACATTAGCTTAACATGGTGTTGATTCCTCACTACTTACATGCATAACTATGAAAACTTTGAAAGCAGGAGGTTCTAACAAAGGGAAAGACAAACTAAAAACTATTATTGGTTCTGCAGATACATTTTCTCATGAACCTGTTCAGATGTCCTACCACTCCCCCGAACCAGACAGGACTTCAGAAGTAGATGCTACCACTGTGTCAGAATATGTTAAAATTACACTGACCTGATCAAGTTTAAATGAACCAGGCTCCCTCTTGTGGCAGCAGCTGCTGCATGCAAGCAGAATGACCTTTGCCACACTGTTGAGCCAAGAACTTAACTACAAATCCAAAATTGCAGCCAAAATGGAAATGACACAGTTTTTCAAGGAGACATCAGGTCAGGGAGTGGTGCAGGAAGACTCCAGCAGAGACCGAAATAGAAAACTGGTCAGGGTAGCAACAGTGGGAGCAGAAACAGAGAAAATGTCATGAAAGCAGGCAGGCCACAGCACACAACGTTTGAGAACATTAAACCAATACTCACGATTTTATCAACAGCGTTAAAGTGAAACAAAGTTAACTGAATCAACTCACGACACATCCACACTACCTTGATTTTCTCGAGGAAAGAGTCTCCATGGCAAGCCATCAGGCTGAATTGAGTACTCAGACTGGAGGTCGAACTGTAATGATTTTTTTAAAATTGGATTATCTACAAGGGTCCTCGAAGAGGTTGCAAACAATCCTTCATAATCAATCGGTGGTTGCCAAATTTGGGACGAACACTTCATTAAATTACCAACTTTCAATATTTCTTTTTCTTCGAAATTTAATGGTAAACACAGTCTACTACCAGCTTTTAACGGTTTTCTATAGAATAGGTGCCTAGTGCTTTGATATCGGTTTTCAACTGTTGATGTTGTTATTTCACACAAAGGATCATGCCTCAATTTAGTTTTGCTTTCATCAGAAAGAAAATATTTTTTCATGTCACGAACTGCAATTAGACAAAGTTAGTTAAAGAACACAGAACAATGCAGCTCAGAAAAAGACTCATCAGCCACCATGTTTTGAAAACTATGATGCCATTCTGAACTGATCCTATTTGCCTGCACATGGTTCACATCACGTTATTCTCTGCTTGTTCATGATTAATGTTCCTATCCGGTGTCTTCCACCTCCCTGGAAGCAATTCCAGGCATCCATCATCCTCTGCATAAGAATCTTACCTCACATGTCCTTTAAACTTTATCCCTCTCACTTCTAAAATCAACCCCCCATTTATTTGAAACCTCCGCCCTAACAAAGAAACTTCAACTATTCACCTTATCCAAGGTTCTCACCATTTTATATACTTCTCATCACCCCTCAACCTCTAACGCTCCAGTGAAAACAATCCAAATGTGTTCAATCTCTCAAAATGACTAAAACACTCCATTCCAAGCAGTATCGTGGTAGATCTCTTCAGTGCCCTCTCGAAAGCCTCTAAGTCTTTCCTATAATGTGGTGACCAGAACTTTACTCAAAACTCCAAAGTTGGCCTAACTAAAAATTACTTGCTAACTTTCAAACTTGATGCATCAAATGAAGATAACAAGCATACTGTATGCCTTCTTTCGTGCTTTGTCCACCGGTGTTGCCACTTTCAGGGAACCATGGACTTGGCCCATGTTCCATCTGTATATCCATGCTCTGAAGGTCCTGCCATTTATTCCATGCTTTCCTCTTGCTTTGGACGAGATCATCTCATTCTTTTCCAGATTCAATTCCATCAGCCATTTCTCCACCCAACTTTCTGACTTATCTATATTCTGCTGTATCATTGAAAATCTTCCTCACTATCCACAAGTCCAATTTTGTCATCGTCAAACTGACCCATCAGACCACCAACATTTCCATCCAAGTCCTGAACATATATTAGAAGCAACAAAGGTTCCAGCACTGATTCTTGCAGCATACCACTGGTCACTGACCTCCAGTCAGAAAAACAGCCCTCCATATCTACCCTATCTGTGACCAAATCCTAAGTTGCAATTCACCGTGGATATGATGTGACTTAATCTTCTGGACCAGCCTGCCATAAGGGACTTGGCCATCTGCTTTAGTAATGTCCACATTGAAAATATTCACTGCCTGACCTTCAATCAATCAAATTTCTGAGACAAGACCTTCCCCAGAAAAAAATAGTTTCCTGAACAAGGCTAGTCTTTTCCAAATGTGACAAAATCCTGCCCCTAATCTTCTTCCAACAATTTCCCTCCTATTGATCAAATGCTCACTGGCATATAATTTCCTGGATTATCCTTACTCCCTTTCTTAAACCTAAGGAAAAGTATTGGTTGTTCTCCAGCCGGTGGCTAAACAGGATCCAAATATCTCCATCAGGACCCCAGCAATCTGCTCCCTTGCCTCCCTCAGTACTGTGGCATAGATCCATTAGGCCTTGCAGACATATCAACCTTCATGTTTATCGAGGCACCCAAGACCTCCTTCATAATATCGACATGCCCCAGAGCATCAACATACCACTCTCCGAACTGAGCACCATCCATATCCTTCTCCTTGGTGAATACCAATGCCAAGTACTCATTAAGGACCTCATCCATTTCCTTTGGCTCGATGCATAAATTCCCTCTTTTGACCTTGAATGGTCCAACTTTTACCTAACTGTGCTCTTAATATCCATATGAAACACCATGGGATTCTCCTTAATCCTACTCGCCACAGATAATTTGTGGGCCCTTTTAGCTATCCTAATGCCATGTTTCAGCTCTTTTCTGCTTCTGTCATATACCTCAAGGATATCTGTTTCCTAAAACCTACATAGCCTTTTTTTTTTTGACTAAACTTTGAACCTCTCTCATCATCCAGGGTTCCCGAAACTCACCATTGTTATTTTTCATCTTCACAGCAAGATGCTGGTCGTGAACTCTGCTCAATTGACCTTTAGAAATTTCCCACCTATCAGATGTGGAAGTATCCTCAAACAGCCACCCTCAATCTAATTTTGCCAGTTCCTGCCAAGTACTGTTACAACTAGCCCTCCTCCAATTTCACACTTTTACCCAAGGACCAGTTATATCCTTATCCATAACAATCTTAAAACTTAACAGAATTATGACTACTGTTCACAAAATGCTACCGCACTGAAACTTGGAACACCTGGGCACAGTCAGTCCCCAAAGTCTAATGTGGCCCCTTGCCTCACTGCACTATCTACATATAGCTTCAAGAAACCCGCTTGGATTCATCTTAAAGATTCTGACCCATCTCAATGTTTGTTCAAGTTTTAGGCTTTCTCAAATGTTCCAAAAATGTGCAACAACCCAAGTTTATGTGGTACCTTTAGCTTCCTAAAATATGCCAGCGAATCTCAGAGGGGTATTATAAAAAGCTAAATTTGACATCACAATTGACATGATGAAATTTTCGAAGAACTGAAGATGGGGTGGAGTCAGTCTAAGTACATCCCTTCTCCCTGCATTACAGCAATTAGTTTCCCCCCACAGCTTCCTCGTGTACTAACTACACATGGTATCCAAAATGGAACAAAGTTTCAGTTATTGTCTGTACATGATATTTCAAAACCCACACGATATGAACTTCTCTTCAAAGTCCCCACAAATCCAAGCAATCAAGTCCAAAATCTGTTGCATACCAAAACATCCACATTGCTGAAACTCAGTACAGCAACTACAAGGTATCTTTTTGATAATGGCATAAATATGCACACAAAATTTCCTCCCATCCCAGTTCAGTACTGAAGAAACACAGCATCTCAGCAATGTCATCTTTCAGGTACAAGAAGAAAATAAATGCATCACGTTCCGCTGACAAATATTTGGCACGAAACTAGGAAACATTATGAACTGAAATGAATGACTACATCAGGAACTGAGTACATTATCATTATGATCCAAAATAACTCACTGCACTAGAGACTTGATACAGCACTGTATAAAAGTAAATGTTCAAAATTAGTAAACTTTTGTACTCTACCAGATGCATTCCTCCTTGCCTTCTTCGGTTGATGACTTTTCAATGAAAGATCCTCCTATTATGACAGTAATTCAGATGTAAAGATGCACACCAAAACAAACATTCAGAATTAAATAAACCTCATGTTTCAATGAATACTGTTGGGTTTTATTTATTTCAGTAATATTACATAACACTTCTGATTCAGGTGGGAATGAATCTGGGCTTCATGGTTCAGTGCCACTGTGCCATCCAGCCCCCAACTATTGGGTTTTTGAACTTTTACAACTGACCTGGCCAGAGTTGTTCTGACATACCTCTAAAGCAGATGGGACTCAACCTAAATGTCTTGGTCCAAAAATAGGGACACTGCCACTGTATCACAAGGGCCCTTAACTATGGAGTTTAACTTGGCCTTCTTTTGAAATAACCACTTGTGTTCACATCTGTTAAATGACACCTATTCACCTTTTGGAGCAACTTTAAAATTTGTTTTTCCCCAATGAACCTGGCCAAACATGCCATGGATGGGGGTTAGGTGGATCTTCAACCTGGCTCTGCAGGCTCAGAGGTAAAGACCATAACCATTGGACCACAGTGGTTCTTTGCTTCTATCTAGAAAAGATGCAAAGTGCACAGAAACCAAGCGGTCCAGTGGCATTGACCCGAAATCTACTGAACTCTAAATCAACTTGAGTCACAACACAGGACTCGATGTGTTGACAACAAGGCTGTTGCAACAAATTAATTTGTGTTTGAGAAGTTAAGTTTCTGAGGAGCACTGAAAAATACTAAATTAAATATCTCACCCTCAGACAATTGTGCGCACAACGAACATAATTCTCCTCAAAGCAGTCTCAAGGATAAAACCAAGGCACAGTGCTTAAAGCTTCATTTGGTCTTCATTTTTATTGCAGGTCAGAATTTATTCAATTCAATACCGAATGCAAACCGGACACAACTCAAGCAAAAACCCATTGAGGCAGCTAATCAGTCAGTAAAATGGCCAGACATTCACTGATTGAACTCAAGGAGATTGTTCCAGTTGGCGGCAGACACCATGATTTCCCAAACATTATTGTTCACTTCAGACTGGTAAAAGTCACAAAACCATTGCAATGTAAAACCTTTTAAGCATTAAACGGGAGCTGAGGGAGGGGAAGAGAGTTCAACGACTCAATAGTATTAAGCCAATAACTGCAGTGAAACACAATATCTTCATGGGAAGATGCAAAAAAACGGAATCAGTGGTAATCTCCACAACAACTCAGGGGCATTCCAAAAAAAAAAAAACGAACAAACCCGGCACATCCTTGCCTCTCGTGAAATGTAAATGTGTTTTTAACTCTGTTTTTGGATTTGGGGAGTATGCAGGGTGATCTTGAAGTCATGACATCATTTCAATTCCCATGTTATCCTAGCTCCAAATATAGTCTGTGTAATTGCTCTCAGAAGTTATATATTTACTTTGTTGCAGGGAGTATCATTCTGCTTCTGAGCTGCTTTAAATCAAAGCAGGCCAGCACAAGTGACGGTGTTTAATGATCACATTGAACACAACTAGAATGTAGCAGGATGACAATGTTATAGGCCATTGTCAGTCACAT